ACCCTTAGCTAGCTCGCTACATGCATATATCTATACGGTACGAGCCGGAGATGCGCTGTGCCATGCTGCACTGTGCTGCTGTATGTATGTATGTAATCAGAGCAGAGCAAATGAGATTTCTGCTGCTACCCTCAAAATGCCTGACTTGCTCGCTAACCTGCCCCCCCAATTCCCCGATTTGATCTCAACCAATCCTCCCTCACCCACAAGCAAGTAAGATCACACATCCACTCATCCATCCATTCATCAACCACCAACAACCCCGGACAGACTTGCTTTGATTTGCCTGCCCGTAACCTGAAGCCTGAAGCTTCTACATAGATAGAGCCTTGACTACCTAATCTAACCCATCCATCCACCTTCGCCAATAACAAGAAACTCCCCATCTCCCCTCCCCCTCTCCCCCTATCTTTCTCTCTCTCCAATCGTCAACTCCAAGCAAACGAATATTCAAGGCCCACACCGCTAACTAAAAGGCTTAACTACCTAACTACCTACCTACTTACCTGAGCAAGTACGGCACAATAACTAAGCTTGGCTAGCTGGCTGGCTAGCACGCGCTCCTTCTTTCTTCCTCGTACTCCGTAAGTAGTAGAGTACTTCGTTGAGTCTTTAATTTCAATTCAAATTGTCTGGGGATGATGGATGATGGGAGATGAGAGAGAGTCGGGGCTGAGGATTATGGTGGAATAAATATGATGTGAAGATCCCTTATGGTGGTCTCCTGGTCTCTTCGCGGTCAACGAGGGTTTAAACCGCACAACTAAATGCACCGAAAAAGGTATATCAAATAGATAAGAAGGGATTCTTTGTTTCTTTCACGGAAACTTGCACAATAATTACCATACGAATATCATCGATCAAACAATCGCGGAAAATCACTGCTCATTCAATTTTATGCCTGCAACCTTCCATCATAACTACATAGACACCCCTTCCCTTGCTCACCCTTGATATTTTATCCCTGGCAAGCTCAACAATCAAAATGCTATGTGCAACTTAGAAAAAAACCTATGCCTCAATCTTTGCCTTGAGGATATCCTTCAACGTAACGGCATCGGCGGCGAACTTGGAAATACCCTCGCGCAACTTCTCAACTGCCATGGTGTCCTCGTTAAAGTCAAATCGGAAGTCGGGCTCGTTGTTGATGTAGGACTTCTTCTCGATGTCCAGGGATGCGGCGCCGCCAGCGTCGAGCTTCTTAGGGACGGCGTCGGTGGATCCCATCATATCTTCGAGAAGATTGGGCTGGATTTATGTCAATCTTTGGGTGGATTTTCTATTTTTATTTTGGTGTGGGTTCCGGATCGAACTTACGGAGATTGTCAAGTAATCACATCCAGCCAACTCGGTAATCTCGCCAACATTTCTGAAAGAAGCACCCATAACGATGGTCTTGTATCCGAATTTCTTGTAGTAGTCGAAAATGCTCTTGACAGATGCTACACCTGGGTCCTCCTCCTTGGAGTAGGTCTTTCCAGTCTTGGCCTTGTACCAATCGAGGATACGGCCGACGAAGGGAGAGATGAGGTATGCACCAGCCTCGGCAGCAGCAATAGCTTGGACCTTGGAGAAGAGGAGAGTGAGGTTGCAGTTGATGCCGTGATCCTTTTGTAGAATACGGGCAGCTTGGATACCTTCCCAGGTGGAGGCAATCTTGATCAGAACGCGAGACTTGTCAATGCCTACGGACTTGTAGAGCTGTCCCCAATAATTAGCATTCCCTGAAAATCATAGCAAGAATGGGTGAAACGTACCTCAATAATGTGGAGAGCCTTGTTGACGGAGCCCTCAGTATCAAAAGAGAAACGGGCATCAACTTCGGTAGAAACCTTTCCTGGAACGATGTTCAAGATCTCCTTTCCGAACTCAACCAGAAGGCGGTCCAGAGTAGCATCAACCTTTTCATCGAGATCCTTTCCTTGCTTCTTGCCGTATTCGACGGCAGCGTCGATAAGCTTGGCATATTCGGGCTTCTTGGAGGCAGCAAGGATGAGAGATGGGTTGGTGGTGGCATCTTGAGGCTTGTACTTGCCAATGGCTATCTCATATCAGCATTGGTGTTCGTATAGAGAGAGGTATATGGAATTTCGAGGCTCGAGAAGTGAAGCTGGGCTGATTGAGAGGCCTTACATGCGAAATCACCTGCAGAATGGTTAGCTGGGTTCTCAACAGATTGAGGGCAGGAAAAGCTTACCAGAATCACTGACGACAGTCTGCAAAGCACATAAACTATTAGCAAGCCAATCCCGATCAAAGTGGGAGGTGCAATTGCCACTGGAGGCCGTCGCATCTCAACTCAACAAACAAACCAAAAATAACAAGAGCCCCGGTTTCTCCGCCAGGTAGAAAGAGGGGTTGGGGTAACTTACGGTGCCAGAAGCCTTGAGTTGCTCGAGGGAGTTGCTCATGATTGCGTGTGTAAGGTGAAAGCGGATTGCAATAGAGTTGTGTGAGTGAGGTTGTGGGTTTGATGTTGGATGTTGCCGAGTGAATGAAGGAAGAGAATTTCGTTGATCAGGTTAAGGGTTGAGGGTGGTTCGATCAAATCATATCGGTGTCGGAGCACCAGGAGGCGTCCAAGCTGATTTGACCCCTCCAACGCTAAAGGTTGCCACTAAGCTATGACGATAGTGGGGTGGTGGGCTGGATGCTTATGTAAGCATCCATGGACTTTCTTTTAGGGACGCGGTCGAAGTCTTTTTGATTTGAATTTGAATAGATAAAATTTAAATTCTCATTGCTTAGGTTTGCCGCAATGGGCATCTATTCCGACATAGTTGTAGCTGTTGTTGACCACCTCCCCTCGATGGGAGGTTTTGCTCCGCCCAACGGAAAAGATGTTTTCTCACTAACGACATCGTTATCCTCTTCCATCCAACGTTCCACAGCGGCCCATCCACTGGCTAGGAATGTCTCGGAAGGAATATGCATTGGCACATAGGTACATACCCGTGCATGTGTCTGCATTTGGCGCTGATGAGGCGAATTGGAGTGAATACCGGTACCGTTAAAACCTAGGGAAACGATGCCCCTCGATAAGAAAGAAATGTACGACACGTGATGATAGCAGCGGGTACTTCTATGTACGAGGCTCAAAATTACCTGCTTGCGTATTGCCGTCCAATTCTTCCGCAATAGACAAATTAAGACAATAATACCCTGCTGAGAAGAGAGCCGAGCGGGGCCATTATCCGGCTCTGATAACCGTCACGTGGCGATGCACGTCCGAAGAATTCTGGGACAATTGCGATTTTTTGGACATTGGAAGGAAGCCCAGACCTATTTTATCCGGCTAGTAGAATGTTCCCAATTCCAAGCAGACCTTTAAGGACAACATCCCTTTCTGTTGCCTGATGTCGAGTGCGACTTGAGACAGTGAGAATTCGTACTTCTCGCGATCCTGGCCCATATGAACAACCATAGCGATTGATAAAGGCTAGAGATCGGGAGGAGGAGGAGGATGTGCGGCGTTTAAGAATGAAGGAGGAGAGTGCGCGATGTAGTGGGTCATATGGTTGTCGCGGCGGCGGAAGAGGGATATTTTGTGTCTGTAGGAAGTGCGGTGCGTGTTTTTTTTTTTGGCTTTGAGGTGGAGAGAAGTGGTGACGAGTGAGTGTTTGAGCTGGAATCAAGGAAGTGCAAGTGACGTTGGATAGTGAGTGCTGTTGTGGAGTGTACCTAGGACCGAGTGCTGTGGCGCCGGAAAGGGGGTTGGGTTTATTTACTTGATATTTAACCGAAGTCCCTCTGCCCTGAAAAAGCTACTCTAACCCAGCCATGACCTAGCGATGAAGTAAAAGCAAAAGCAAAGGCATGAGGAAAAAAGAGACATACAACAGCGGGTATTCGCTGGTGGTCACCCACCCAACTACTAATCCGCCGATCTGAGATTTGTGTACGGCAGAGCGGACGGGATGCCCAATTCTACTCAGTCTATGGTCGTATGCGGAAGACTTCACCATTGTGTCGTATTATACATCCTGTTTTGAGTCAACTTCTTGGTGGATAGATAGATGAATGTATTAGGTAAAATAATATGATTCGATGTTGACTTTTGAGCAAGCATTATTGTACTTACCGCCACCCAGATTAATCAGGAAAGAAGTAAGGAAGATGGAAATATCGAGATCGAAAAAATCAACCTAGCGAAAGCTTACAAGAATCCAAACTTGTTGAGAGCTGCCCCTCGGAACTCGCCACTGTATCCTTTCTCTCTCTCTATCTTTTTTTTAATAATAAATAGCGGAAAGAAAGAAAGCCATGAAGCAGGATGCCACTCGTTAAAGTGGGCTAGTGAGTGAGTGAAAGCCTGTCGGTGTTTTGAAGAAGATATGGATGAATATCGATCTATCGATTTTATTATTTAACCCCCTCCTAAGTAGAGCCGATGTACCTACAATCTCTTAAAAAGGTCGCTCAAACGTACGAAGGGCGGCAGCTCCGTGAAGATAAGATAAGGCTATAGAGGGTGCAGTATAACGGTTTGTTTGTTTGACTGCAGTATAAGTCGGCTAATTTTTTCCCCTCTTTCCAGAATTAGGTGTGAAAAGACCGTAGAAGTAAAAGTGAAAATAAGAAGGGAAAAGAGCACGCTGCATCTCGGATGATCAATAATATATATGACGGTGTATGGTAGAGAGGTGCGAGATGCCATTACGGAAGCCCCGGGGGACGTACATATCAGATCCGAAACCTGACACCGTCATTCTTCGTTAGGAAGAGCATTTGCTCGTTCGATTCGATCTTTTCTGACGAGAGCTGGAGGGGGGCTGATAGGATGAAGAGAGAGTCAGACACCGGATGTGTTGTTTCAAGCCACTTGAGTGCGCTTGGTGAATTATACATCCCGACCCTTGTTTATCTGTTTATCCATCTCGGATACACACATAGATGTACCGGTACATACGTTACCTACCGTTGCTCCAGAAATACACAACCGACCCGCTTGCAAGGCGGGATAAGCAGGGAGGGGCTGTTTAGAAGTAAGGACAGTGAGAGAATTTTGGGGTTGATACTGTGATCTTGTTTTTGGGTTCGAGACAACCTGAACCCCAAGCTCCCCCTTGTTCTGTTCAAGCAAAAGGGCACAAGGCGCACAAGGCGCAAAAAGAATCGTTATGCTTATTTCGTCGAGGGGCTCGGTACATGAAGAGCGCAGAAGGAAAATACGGTCTCAGCCAAACGGCACATGAACCATTGTATCATGAGGGGTTGTATGTTTGCATTACAATATCAGCTCAGCTCAGTGCTCAGTCGGCTCACTAGCCACGGCTGCTAATGCACGTCAGTTGTGGCGGTGATGAGATCAACGAGGATGACCTTTGCCGCGTCGATGCTCATAGCGGCTGACAGCGAGAGAGAACATGGCAGGTAGAGATCATGCTGTGATGGTCTTGATGGAGAGATTTGAAGTAAACTGATAAATAGATACATACATATATAAAGAATGTCTATCTTATCTATCTATCTATCGATCTCTTTATTTTATCAATTTCCTATTCAAAGCGTTCTTGACATCGCTATATTCCATATTGTTCGTGTTGTGGCCAATCAAAAGGCGCGAGGTTGCGACACTCAGCTCATCAACCACATTTGATCCGGTCCGCCAGTCCTGTAGATCGCTCTTGAGGTACGTCCGAGAGCCTCATCACTGACGCCGACGCCGATACATCCTTAACACCAACCCCACACCTCAACCGTACCTCACCCTCGCCAACTCGGCCTCACAACTGGAAGGCGGGCATTAGGAGCACAAGCACAACACAAGCACGACCACGATCACCAGCCCCGCCTGCGAGATCGCAAGAATCCATCTGTCGAGCCTCGCCATCGCAAAACGGGATCGGGCAGCCTGGAATTGCCTGTCGCATCGCCATTCGGAGGAACGAGTGAAGGAAAGGAAAGGAAAGGAAAGGAAAGGAGAGGAAAGGATAAGGAAAATAAAAGGGTACAATCATATCAAGCCAGCAAAGCCCGACGGCGAGTCTCCCACCCCACGAGCACCACAGCGAGCGCCCTCACCGCGAGGAGCTGCATGCATACAGAAATATACTTTCGTTGAAGCTCTCGAGAGAGCAGAATCTGGGACGAGCCGATGGGACCGTACTCGAAGCTGGTTTTTTGAACTGCCTTGCTGCGCACCGCGCTCACCAATGTAGAGAAGGCTCTGTCCAACTCCCGACGTCGACGTCTGGCTACGCGCCACCCATTGCAGGTCTTTGAGCTTGACCATCTGTGTTGAGTTCTAGGAATATCGAATTGATCAAGGTCTGTCGAGTGTGCTCTCTAATTTCGATTTGCGCCGAGTCTCTCAGCTGCGAACATGTCTTTCCGCTCCAACGGACAGCAGCGACGATACGGCCATGTGCCTCCAGCTCAGTATGGAACAGCAGGAGCGCAGGATCCAAACAACCCTTCAGGCCTACGTAGGCATTCGAGCTTTGATACTGGTGACGACGGCGCATTTCACGACACGAACGGCAACAGATACCAGGGAGGAGCTTCGTCAGCGCAAGTAAGAGCACAGGAAGAGCTGTTCATGACAAGTCCGAATGTGCAGTCCCCTCAATCTCCAGTTCGAGGTTCTTTTGGAAATACGACTCCAGCATTGTCAGGATATCAACATCAGTATCAGCCTTTCCCACCAGGTCCACATTCACCGCCGCTGCCACAGGCTCAGTACAATCCCCAGCATTTTGCCAGAACGCAGTCCCAGATACAGACATCGCAATATCGACCTCAGCCTGCATATCCCCCTACCCCGACAACACATCAACCCTATAACCCGGCATTGTACCAGGCTCCTCCGCAGCCAGCGCGTCAAGCCACGGTCTCTGGGTACAACAACCATGCGCCACCACACGGTTTGGGGGCAATGCAACAAACTTCGCAAGCACCTACCTACTGGCCATCTCCTCAAAAACCACAGCAGTTCTCCCCTCCTGTTCCTAGTCGGCCGAATCAGCAATATATGTACGATCAGTCATTGGTGAGCCCGACAGATACACCATCAGGCTCGGCCCCTCTACAGCCGCACTACAGTCCACCTTCTGCCCCTTACCCAACAAATGGTGAGGACTGTGGCTCGAACAGAAGTTCCTCTACGAATCAAGCGACTGTCCAACTTCCCGATTATGGATCGTATGAAGCATCTCATGACCTTTACGAAGACCATCAGTCATTTGTCGAGCGAACGAACAGACCGTCTAGCCACTCGATATCCGGGACACAGCTGAATGCAGGCCTCGGACTCCAAAGGCATCCCACTCAAAGGCCGCTGCCGAGTGCCCCGGTGGAAGACGCAGGTGACGATGATGACTGGGGAATCGATATTCCTGATGATGGCGTCTCACAGGAGCAGCTATTCGCAGATATTGGAGATGCCCTAGGAACATCTGGATCAAGGTATGGGAGACAAGAAGGAGGCGATGCAGAAAGTGAAGATCTCTTGGACAGTGAGCTTCAAGATCTTCACAGTTATGATTCTCGGTCGGTTAAGATTGGTAATTCCGGAGCCATTGATAGACATCCGTCCACGGCGGCTACTTTGAACAATGATTATGACAAGAACTACGACGATTACGACGATGACAGTGATGTAGAAGCGGCCGCAGGGCTGGAAGCTATGCGAATTGCAGAGGAAGAGGATCAACGAGGAAGAGCTTTGGGCTTCGGGACTTATGATCCTACTACACACCAGCCATCGCTAGACGGAAGCAGTGATAGCGATTACAAGAATATGGATCTGGGTCTGGCTGGGGGAGGATACGATGCTCATTTGTCGTACGGGGATGATCAGAATACAGGACATAGCAGCGAGATGGATGACCAAAGCCGACCCCTACCTACGCCAAAAGAAATAAAGTCGGATAGCCACACACGAACCCCAGCCGCCGGCCTTGGAGGAATGACCGACTATTCCATCCCAGGTGTAGGAGATATTCACCCATTTCCAGCTTTCGAAGCAGCTCGAGTCGATGTTTCTGGTACGGGTGGCCTGCAGAGACCTACCTCACAGTCCCACAGACTCAGTTTCGACGAAGGCGATGAGCAGGTCTCACTTCACTCCCGAATATCCGATCCTCATCTTAATGGAAGATCTGGAAGCGAAAGCCCATCCCGTGATGATATGCCAGAGCTGTTCTATCACCCTGGTATGAGTACAACGTCATATAACAGACCTCTCCCTGCTGTTCCACCATTGTCTGAACACCGGATTCCACAACTTCTCCCAGCCGGGTCCTATAGAGCCCAGCACCAGCACCAGCACTCCCACTCATATTCGTCGAGTGTCGAGGGCGCCAGATCTTTCTGTACTCCTGCTGGGCCAGATGCTTGCTCGCCCTCAAATCTGCTCACACCTAGTAGCCAGTACGTCCCAAGATCTACGTCTTTATCGAGTCATAGCAGTACACCTCAGCATCTAGCACCTGTAAGGTCCAAGACCGATGCAGAGGAGAGACAAGCAAAGCAGAAGGCGGCGAGATCCCATTCGCGTCCACCAAGCGGTCTGGATGGTTATGATGTTGGTTCTACTCCTACATCTTCAATTACGCTTGATCTTCCGGCCTTGCCAGCTGGTCGTAGGAAGAAGTTTTCTCCGTCAAGGTTATCATCAGCAGAGTACATAAGATGCGAGGAGCCTTGGGCTTTGAGTGGCATTGCTGCTTGGATACGAGAGCTGGCAGGAGGAGAGACTGGAGAAGGCGAGTCGGACTTGAGAGAGAAGACTATTGCAGATGGCCTTGTAGCTTTGTTTACAAACAAAGTCCCGACCATGAATACAGCCGACGCCGAGACATTGAGCCAGAGAGTCGTCAAGTCTATGTTCGACGCTGGTATCCTTCTTCCGGAAGAGGAATGGGTCAAATTTGGTCCGGGAACAATCAACGGAGTTCTGTGGCAATTGACTGGATCCGGGTGTTATTCACCCCGAGTCCATGAACAGGAGGTCCCTGGAAGATGCTACTCGCATCATTGCACGCGGACTTTGAAGAAGATCAATTTGCAAAACCACGTTTTGGAGCCATCGAGGAAGTCAGAAGATTGGGTGACTTTCTTCAAACTGACCAAAGAGATGCTTGATGGTTCGTCAAAGAAGGAGATTGAGCGACAGAACAATCTGCACGAGATCGTCATGTCGGAAGATACTTTTATGGACCAGATCAACGTTCTGCGAATTCTGTACAGAGATGATCTTGCATCATGGCAACCTCCGATCATCTCCAAAAACAAGGTTACGAGGTTCATCTCGTCTGTGTTCGGTAAGGTCGAAGCGATCAAGGAAGTGAACGAGAATTACTTGCTGCCTCAATTGAAGTACCGGCAAAAGGAGCAAGGTCCGTGGGTAATTGGCTACAGCGACATCTTTAGAGAGTGGATTCGCAAAGCTCGGGCCGCATACGTGGAATACGCTGCTGGGTTCCCATATGCTGTCTACCTGGTAAGAAAAGAGGCGAACAGGAATCTCCTGTTTCGCCAATTCCTGGACCAGGCGCGGGATAACAAACTTTCTGGCCGTCTTGATTGGAACACCTATCTCAAGGCACCCATTACCCGACTGCAAAGATACGGCTTGCTTCTCGGGACAGTGCTGAAGAATATGAGCCAGGATACTGAAGAGAAGGCTACTCTCGCTATTGCCATTGAGGAAATAAAAGCCGTTACGCTTGAATGTGATGCCAAGGTCGATGAGCATACGAAGAAGGTGAACATGATTGAGCTGGAGGCTAAGCTGTATCTCCGACCTGGTATGGAAAGGGTCGAGCTCAATCTTAACCACCTGGGTCGAGAACTCATCTTCGAGGGAGACTTACAACGAGCTGGTGCCAATCGCTTTGCCTGGCTTGATACTCATGCCATTCTCTTTGATCATTATCTTGTGCTGGCAAAGACGGTCACCAGAGCAGATAGTGCTGCTGGGCCAAAGAAGGTGGTCTACGATGTTTCCAAGCTTGTGAGTTGTATTCGACTTTGATCGTTTGCATTGCTAACGTATGACAGCCTATCCCCATGCAGCTTCTTGTTCTTGAGAGCACGAACGATGATCCTGTAGTGAAGTCCTCCGTCAAGGGCATTGGAGCCGTGACCACGGCCACTAAGACTACAGGCTCTGATACCAGGCTTAATCGTCTTGCCACGAATGGCACTGATAGGCAGCATATACCACTTGAGCATACCAATTCGAACCAGTCTCTCACATCCATCAATTCCGTGACGAGACTGGCACCCAGCAGTACGAATGACAGCGAGTCCAGAGCCATGTACCCATTCCGAGTCAAACATCTCGGCAAAGCCGAGGTCTACACGCTCTATGCACCGAGCGCCCAAAACAGGCAGGATTGGTGCGAGAAGATCCTTGAGGCGAAAACTCGTTACGCGGCATCGTTGTTCGAGCAAAGTGCAGAGCCGTTCCGGATGCGTGTTATGGCGGATAGCGCATTTGCTTATGACATCGCATCTTCAGTCTCTCAACGAGGCGGCGTTTCTATTCAAGGCACACCCCTGGAGCGGGCGATTCGGGACATGGAGAAGACATATAATGCACCTCGACCCGGACCGGTATGCAGGGCTCAAGTGAACTGTGCTACGGCTTTCACTTGCTATGGGAAGCCGATGGTCGCTATCGGTACAGATTATGGGGTTTACACCTCGGAGGCATCGAATCCTCGAGGTTGGACAAGAGTAAGTGGAATATTCCGACAAAGTGATTAAAGCTAACGACATACAGTCCATTCAGATGAGCCGCGTCACGCAAATTGCAGTTCTTGAAGAGTTCTCACTGTGTCTAATCATTGCCGATAAGGCGCTGATTGCCTACCACCTGGATATGATAGCCCCAATCTCCAGCTTCCCGGCACCGCATCACGATACTGCTCGTCGCGCACCGCAAAAGTTATCCGGTACGCGAGATGTATCTTTCTTCGCCACAGCCCGGATGAAAGACCGCACACTTGTGTTCTACAAGAAGCGAGAGAGCTTGCATTCAACCTTCAAAGTTCTCGAACCTGTGTTCCAGAAATCTTCGGAAAAGAAGAGTCGCCTCTTTAGCAAGAAGTTCGGAGGCAGCACAGAATTCTTTCGCGAGTTCGATGAGTTCTACATTCCGACGGAATGCTTCACCATCAACCTCTTCCACAGCTACATCGCCATCTCCACACTTAAGGGTTTCGAGCTCATGACTCTGGACAAGAAAGTGCCGATGAGCATCCCCGATACCAAAAATCCCGCCATCGGAAACATCGCCAACCGCATCAGCGGGCAAAAGCCACTTGGCATGTTCCGCCTCTCGGACGCCGAGTTCTTGCTCTGCTATGAAGAATGCGGCGTCTACGTCGATAAGCACGGTGAGGTCTCCCGCTCGGTGATCATGGAGTTCGTCGGCAAAGCCAAGACGGCCGCAATGTACGGCGCCTACCTCGTGCTTTTCGACTCTGACTTCGTCGAGGTACGCAACGCGGAGAACGGGCGGCTGCGACAGGTCATTGCGGGACGCGACGTGAGGTGTTTGGATTACGGGATCAACCCACTCGGGACGGGCGCGGCAACGAGCCATATGAGCCCACTGGGCAGTCCCGGGGGCACGGAGAGGAGGACGCTGAAGATGGCGATGGCGCATCCGGAGATTGCAGGGAATCAGATTGTACTGGAGATGGTGCTTAATGAGGGTCATGCGGAGGGTGCTTCCTAATCGGCGGACCCTCCAGACGACAGATTTTCTACCGAGAAATGGAAAGCGACACCGAGGGGAGCAGAGAAGAGAGAAGAGAGATTCTTTGCCCCCAGAGGAAGGTGCAGCGACCATAGGGCGGGATGCCCTGCATGTACGATCCCATCAGTATCATGGTCACGGGGCCGAGAGGAGGAAGGAGGACGTGCCACGAATAGGTAGTACATATCTTTCCGCGCACGTTATTGGGGTAAGATAGGATAGGATCGGACAGGATATGATGTGCATTTTCGGCAATCAAGTCGACAGGGAAAGATAAGCGGACATGAAAGCCCCCGTCCGTCTATGTATGTGTTTTCCCTCTTCTGGTGCGAGCGAGTTATCGTGTTGTGTATTCGGGACGAGCCAGCGGGTGAGCCGCGGGGTGGCGATCCGATTTCGGGGTTGGTGTGGCGGTGATGGGGATGGGATGGGGATGGGATGGGATGGGATGGTAGTGAGTGGTGGTGAGTGGTAGTGACGTCAGGTGTACGTACATACAAAGCAGAGCAGCAGTAGCCCCGTATATTACTCCGCTCCTCCGCTCTTGCCTCGATGACTTTGAGTGCAAAAGTATATTGCTTACATCAGGGCATCTTCCGTATCTATAAGTAGGTGGGAGAAGCACCAAACAACCACGTCGGTCTGCCTCTTCTTCACACCATCACATCAATATCAAACTTCTTCTTTTCGTATGCCTGGTCCCCGAGATCGAAAATCCTGTGATCCAGATCAAGCGTTCTTAACCTACCTACCTACCTACCTTGCCCTTCCAGCTGGGAGGAGAGAAGCAAGCACGCACGCACAAGATGGCCCCACCGAATCCCGTCGTCGGGAATACCGCTGGGCAAAGAACGGATGAGGCTGCTGCCACCACCACCACCACGACAAGGACAGCCACCACTACTCCGACGACTCCGACGACGACAGCGTCCCACGCCTCGTCGGTGAAGGGCGTGCTCGCTGGTATCCACGGCCTCGGGGAGAAGGTGCGCGGGGAGTTCAACTCGGCTGTGGATGGTGCGGCGGGCGACCGCGAGGGAGTGGCGAGGAATCGGGCGGTGGCTGAGGCGGGGGAGCGCGAGAGGCTGACGGGGAGTTTTGCGGCGGAGACGAAGGTGAGGGAGGGGGGTGTGCCTGGGGCTGGGGCTGGACACGGGAAGGGGGTTTAGTTTTGGGTCTTGGGTTGGGTGTGGGTGTGGTGTTTAGGGGCTGGAAGCTAGGATTGAGAGAAGCTGGAGATTGGGGGGAGCTGGAGATTGAGAGAGGCTGGAGATTAGGAGAAGCTAGAGATTGGGAGAAGCTGGAGACTGAAGTATTTTATCGCTTTGCCAGTCACTTGAGTCTTGTTCGGCTTCCTATAGGGTCTGTCTGTCTGACCACTTACTGAGGGTAAGTACTGGAATTCGACTGCCTATAAAACCGTTATTAAAACTCGAATAAAATTCCTGACATTACATTTCGGCTACTATTATAACATCTACCGGCCTAAAAGAGCTGCTGACGAGGGAACTCATGTTGTATTTGCAACTCTTCACAACGTCATCTTCTATGGTTTTCACGCTTAATTGGTTGCATACGGTGATATAAAAGCCTGCGTGGAGCCAGATAGTCTCCCTGATGCAGAATCCCACGACCAGCGAAATCTGAAGAGCATCAAGTCGGTGGTCCGAGGAGATGTCACCCTTATCTTGAATCTAATCTGATTGTCGCATCATAGTGTCTTGCTGGCACGGCGGCAGCTCCCAAGGCCCAAAGAGGATCTCCCGAAAAGGGCGTTCGCAAGCGCAGATCTATGAACGGAAAGACAAGATCAGATGGGATCCTACTGACCGCAAGGCTAATCGCCGAGAAGAGAAGGACCACAACACATATGGTCGCATCCCTATCCTCACAAAGAGCCAACGAGCCAACCTGACCGACGTACAAGCATCTAGGAACCCAATCCAGATCTCGGGGCCCACAGTCTCGAATCGGATATGCCTAGTAGTGGGTGCCCATCACTCGATACCGGCCTCTGGATTTCTCCTACCACGGCGTCGCCCTCGGCCCCTGCACATCCCTCCACTGCCCATCGACTTTCACCCGCTCCCTACTGACAGCCCCCTCCTTCGCCGCCCCCTCCACAACCCTCTCACCCACCCCCAACCTCCTGAAACCCCACTTCCCAACCGCCCACGCCGTCCCAACACCCAAGCTCGCCAGGACCGTCGGCGGCGCCAACAAGAACCCCACGCCGGAGACGGCCCCCCCAACGGCCGTCGCGCCAACGGCCGCGACGACGCTGCCGACCAGCGCGTACTTGGCGTAGCGCACGACGCGCCAGAAGACGAAGACGCCGATGTAGCGGAGGGCGCGCAGCAGCGCGCGCGTGCGGCGGTGCGCGGGTCGGGGGGAGGTGGGCGAGTCCGGCGCGAAGAGGAACCGGAGGTTCTGCTTTGCGGAGTGGAGGGCGCTGGATGAGCGGGCGGTTGCGCGCGCCTCGGTGGAGGATTGGGAGGTTGAGGAGAGGTCCTGTGTGAGCGCGTGGGAGCCTCGGGATGGCGACATGGCGATTGATTGATCGTTTGTCTTTTGGGGGGGGGGGGGGGGGGGAGGGGTTCTGGGATGCGACGTGGGTGGTTTTTTTATTTTTCTTTCAAGATGCCCCAGGAGTTTATCTGTCGTCCGCTGTACATGACGTCCGGTTTTTGGATCCGTGATCGGATGACATCATTAACATCGATTTGTGCCCAAGCGAGACAGACTTTGCCCCCCCCCTATTCAACAGCTCGGGAAAAGTAAACAAACAATATTTTTACCGAGGCCCCGCCGCACCCACTGGTTTCTTCGAGCTCAGAAAGATCCGGCGAGGCAGGAGCGGAAGAGCAATGGGATGGAGGTCAGGTTCCACACTATGCTCGCTCGAGCTATCTACAGGCCATCCAGCCACAGAGAACGATACTCAACAAGCCAAAAAAAAAAAAGAGAGAAAAAAAAAATTTCCGATTCCTTCGAAGTTCGGATTCAGAAAAGGTACGCGCAAAGACTTGATAGCCTTTTTGATCCGCGGCCTAGCTCAGGAACTACCAACGCCTCCCAATCTCGTCCACCGCCAACGGCTGGATACACAACTAGCTCTAAAACCAGCAGCGGTTTCCTACGAATAAACCATCATCCATAGACGCGGCCCCCAAAAATGACAGTAAAGCCCAGCTCTGCTGCCGATCGTTGACATTGCGATTATCAAAAAAAGGAAAAAAAGGAAGAAGAAGAGGAAGGTGTATCACCAGAGGAGGAATCACAAATTCCACACTCCTGCGGGGATTCCACCCACCGCCTGCCTGCCTGCCTCCCTCTCCTCCAGCTGCAGTCAGCAAGCATCCTCATCACGACGGATCCTTCACCGACAAGCCAGAAGCCCGATCTACTCTCCCCTCGCGCGATACACGTACGATAGATAGATAGATAGATAGATAGTTAGGAGCTAGCCTCTTTCTGTTATTGCGTGGGAGGGGCCATCCAGCCATCCAGCCATCTATCCATCTATCCATCTATCCATCCATCCATCCATCCATCTAGCATATCCCCCTCCAGACCGCACAAACGAATCACGAAAAGACGCCGCCCCACTCGCAGCACAGATCTCAAGAGGAAGAGAAAGAGGAAGAGGAAAGGTAACGAATAGGTGGGAACCGGCTGGGAAATGCGATGAGATGAGATGCGCTGAGATGAGATCGATGAGATGGATGCATAGCTCGCGTTCGCAGCAGGTACGTTGCATGCATGTATACCAAACATTGATCAGCGCAGATACGAGTGAGCAGCGCCTGTGTTGAGGACTCGGGCCGGATCAGGGACGGGGAGGACGCCGGATGAGAGGGAGCGCTGAAGGCCTGATTGTACGTAGTAGATACCGTATACAGACTTGGCGGGATGTGAAAGGCGTGAAGACGAAGTGGGGGAGTTGGTTGTCTGGGTGGGTATTTATTTATTGATTTATTCATCCAGAAAAAACGCTGGGGGTCAGAACTGGAACGATTGGAAAGAGACATTTTTATCTACTGCGTTGCACGTAATGGCGGGGAGGAAAGATGAGGGCGCTGGCGGCTTCTCAGCATGTGTACTCCGTAGAGCAGTTGACTTGAATATAGATAGCACCGTTCTGAACTTGAGAGGCGAGGAGCATGTGATCCGACGACGAGCAAAGAAGGCAAAAGAAAAAGTCGCCGTGTCTAGAACCGGAAGAGCCCAGGCTCTTCGATGAGCGAATATGTTTGTTTGCTGTCTCAGTCCATCTATTTCCATATGTAGTGAGTGTATCCGTTGTCAACATCCGTTTCGGATCCTATCCAAGTCCCGCTGGAAGGCCCCCAAACGCTAAAAAATCTTTAAGCGAGCCCATAAAAATCTACCTACACCAAGAATGTAATGCGAAAAAAAAAAAAAGATGTAATCCATGCCGGGCCACCATCAGGCAGTCTTCAGCGCACGAAATCATTCCCGTTCCCCGTGTCCCCTCCCCGTCCACCGAGCCGCAGTTTGCTCTTGCCCTTCCTGTATCGCTGCCCCATCCGCTTCCGCCATTTCTTGCTTGCCCGGATCATCCTCTTCCGCGGGTAGTTGACCGGACTCTCGCCGCCCACGAAGATAGCCGCGTCGTAGAGGAAGGCGCCGAAGATGGCGCCAGCGATCGGTCCGCACCACGGGCCCCAGATGAAGTAGCCGCTGTTGGGGAAGACGTTCTTGCCACCGTAGCCCACGGCCAGCAGGGCGAGACGAGGGCCGAAGTCGCGCGCAGGGTTGAGAGCCGCGCCAGTGTTGTAGCCGAAAGCCATGCTGATCACCGTGATGATCAGGCCGAGGATGAAGGCGTTCATGCCCGCTCCGGGGGGCGCGTTGGCGTCGTCTCCGAGGGCCAGCACAGCGATGGCGAGAATCGTTGTCCCGGTGAACTCCGTGAAGAAGGATTCGGAGACGTCGAGGTATTCGAATCGGGGAAAGGTGACGAATGCAGACGCCGTCCCGCCCACTCCGAGATCCGAGCCACCGTAATCGACTATCCCATTCTTGTAGAGGCCGAAAGCAATGAGCGCGGCTAAGAATGCACCAAGTATTTGCGCAAACACTGTTATGAACTGCGTCAGCAAAATTATGGGGTACTGTAAATAAGTTGTGTAAAAGTGTATCTCTAGGGCCGAGGAATCGCAGAAAGATATAATATAGATGGTACTTACTATATGCGGGGATTTTGCCGAGAGGAAATCCACGGTATATCCATAGCATGATTGAGATAGCTGGGTTGAGATGAGCACCAGAAATACCACCTGCGATGTAGATCCCGATCATGCTGGCCAGCCCCCAAGCCCAGTCAGTCGTCGCGGCATTGCCGGCCGTATTCTTCGAAGTCACAACGACCAGATCTGAGCAGAACCCAAGGGTGAGTTGGACAGTGACCTGCTGCTCGTCAGAATTATCCATGTAACGGGGCAAGTGTTGCTTACGGCTAGCAACTCAGCAAGTGGTTCCCGGAAGCGCAGCCTGATGACCGACCAGTGGGTATGGAGGTTATGAATCTCATCGGTCTCGGGGTCAAAAGCAGCTAGAGGCATCTCCTCACCGATCCAGTCGCCGTCAAGATCCCCATCTTCCGGCTTTTCCGTGATAGCAGAGGCAGCATCATCAGGATAGTCGTGAGATGTTGTTGGTGCCTGTTCGGGAACTGGTTTCAGATCAGAGAGTCGGGGTCGTTTGAACCCTGTTTCTTGCTCGTCTTCTTCTTCAATCACTTGCGAGTTCAAGCTAGAAGGTCGCGGGCTGAGTCCTTGGTTGTGAGAGTTGTGGTGGGCCAGGGGCGAAGTTGGAGTGAGATTATTAGTGTTGACCCTCTGGAGTGTGCCGACCAAGCGGTTCTCTCTCTGTTGCCTCGCCAGTTGTAGCTGGGGTGAGATTTTGTTGATGTTCAGCGTCGCCTCTACCCTTCCTTGCTCGAGATCCGTGTTTGCTGCATCCTGCGCCTGCTGCTGGGCACTTGGAATCTGAAGGTTCAACTCGCTCCTCGATGGGACCATGCCAGGTCTGACTACACGCGGCAATGGTTTTGCCAGACCCCATACGGGCCTCGTGTTGATGGGTTGATCATAGGCAGGGTTCAAGTCAGCATAGCCTGGATCGACGTACGGCTGGTTTGCCGCGACAGCTTCCACAGGCGCCGGTCCGGCCAAGGTAAAATTGTTCGACTGGGCGTCAAAGTCCCTTCCACTCGCCTGTGCTTGCGGATCGAGGAGGATGGTCGGCCTCCTGTTCAGAGTTGTCCCCCGTTGGCGACCGGCGGCCATGTTCCACTGGATAGTCAGGAGGTTAGCAAAACGTTCGTTTCCACATTTCTCAGAAGTAGTCTCGGGATGAGCGTAGTCGTGAGATAACACAAGGCCGGGACTGGCTACTACTGCCTGATTGTCCTTACAGTAGTCGAGCGATGGCGTATGCCAGGCGAGACGAACGAACGATCAGACACCGAGCTTCGTCGGGGCCTCGCATAACTCGCTTCTGCTTGTCCTCCTCTCTCACGGATGGGCTCCAGACCTCCGTCTCCTCCATTATCATTGTTCCTATTAGGCAGAGATCTCCCCAAGATTTGCGAGCGTGGAGATAGTTGGCGATGCTCCGAGTTCTTCGGCCGTGTGCTGATTGTTCGCCCTCGGCGTCTGTTTCTATCCGTAGTGACAACCTCAGCTTCGTTATGGGCTCTTCTGACTGGCAGTGTCCCAGCTCTGTGTAGAGAAGCTATGGGCGACGGTCCTACGGCGACAACTGGAGGATTCGAGATTTGGCCGGCGCCCTCAGGTCGAAGTGGGCTTCCCGTAGCCTGCTCTTCCCCTCCATTGTCCCCGTTCCCTTCTCTGCTGCTGAGGCCCTCAGCTTCTCTTTGCCCGTCTGCCATGCCAACGAAGGTGTTAAAGACGTGTTAACGACGTGTCAAGTGTCAACGGAATGAGTAGCGACTGCAAAGAATTATGTAGCGATTGTAACTGTCTGTGAAGATGAAAAGAATGGTCTGCTTCAGCTCGCTGCGACTATTTCAGAAATTTTCAGGAGGCCATGTTGCGTATCAAGGCCAAGGAAGTCAAAGACATCAAAGAGCAGAGATAGTAGTACGTAGGCAGTACGGAAGCAAGGGTACGTAAACGAATGCGACGCACAGTAATAGAGCAAACCCACTCCTACTCCGACTTGATAATACTCAGACTTCGTACGTAGTACTTCCACGTACCGGTAGTACTATAAATATTGATGCAGGGGAATCTCGACCGAAAGCATCGTCTCCACAGCGGCCCGACGGCCTGTTGTCGGGTTGGTCAGGGGAACTCGGATCCGACAGTAATTGCGGACCGCGAGAGCTTATATTATCATCATACAGTACCGTACCAAGCCCTACGGAATGATACGGAATTACCGCCTGAAGGTGGCTCCAGAGTGTAAATCTCCACTCTAAAGCCCCTGGTATTCTACGTACGTAGCCTTAAGGCGGTAATTATTACGCCTGGGAGGTACGTAAGTAGTAAGTAGCTTTTTTCTGGGAAGGAGGTGAAGCCCGAATCCAGCTTGACTTCACAACAAATCCGACAAAGCCGACACAGGTCACGTGTTGGTTGATCTTGAGTTGTAGAAACATCTCTTCGTTAAAGCTATTACACGTACAAGCTCTGTTTTGGTACCAGACCGAGGCCAACAAAGGGTCACCGAGTAACCGATCATCACTTGAACCCGAGCACCTTGCATGCTTCCGCCAGGTCTGGAATCGAGTCGGCCGTATTGTTGGCAGCGCCCCATTTGAGGAAGCCCACTAGATCTACGTCAGTACCGAGATATCTTTTCCCAAGGAAACAATAGATTACAGAGCATGAGAGCTTTTTTCGGTTTTGCCGTAGATTCGCAGCGGTCTCCTTGAGACCCCTGGGTAGAGACAGACTTCTCCAGATCCAAGGCCACCTATGCCGGTGCCATTCACGAGGCTTACCCAGTACAGAGTCGAACTTCTCCATCATGCGTGATGTCTTTGGAAGGGTTCCAATAGGCAATCCTCCACTTGGAGGTTACCGTTACCGCCATCGCCTCCAGACTCTACACTCCACGCGGCCAGATATCAAAAAACTCCAACACAAAATACTACGGAAAGAGCGGCTCGACTCACTCTCATCTATAGCCCAACATCCACCCACCTGCCAGCGGTTGGCACTCGGATCAACCTCTCTCCCCCAGATATTCTCATTTGTTCCGAGCCTTCTAGCAGCCATTTGGGTCCAGGGATTCAGTAGATGGTAGGTCGTGCTAACCCCGAGTCCCCAGCAGGCATAAACCTCTCTCCCCTCGTCCAGGACGACTCTCACGGCCCACGCACCCCCGATGGCCGACACCCATTTGTCCGTTGCGGCTTTCGAGGCGTGGGAGATAGCAACGCAGTGGATATCCGGGTACTTGTTCGCGACGCGACGGAGCTCGAGGAATGTCTTTTCCGCGACTAATAGTGAGGAAGGAGTGTTAGCCCTGCTGGCCGGCAGCCGAACCCCAAGAGCTGGAATACGAACAAGGACATCCGGTATGTCTCAAGAATGCCACAATCGTAGGCCGCCCATCCCCCGCTTGCAATCTCACAAGTCCACATTCCGGTGCCTTGGCCTCCAAAAGCGGGCTGCTGGCAACTTCCACGGCAGGCGGCGGAGGTGTTTGCCATGACTTCAGGGCATTTGGGACCTGCATGTCCTTGAAAGGATTCGCGAAGGGCAGTGCCGCATTGTTGTTGCCATCTTTCGAATTGCCTGAGTTGGTCGAGAAGTCTGGAACCGAGAGCGCGTTGGAGGGAATGCCTGCCTTGCGGAGAGCTATCTTGGTGGTGAGCTTTGCGAACATAATTTCCGGAGTGCGATGGAAGGTTGAAGTGAAGAGAGAGAGGAGGGACGGGACTTACAAATAACAGATTTCCAATTAGAGCTCACGGTCTGGTCTGGGAGCTTGAAACGGAGGAAGTCGCGATGCGTTGCACGGACGGTCTCCTGAACATTCTCGGCAGAGATCACGATCACGTGATTACAGAGAGAGTTTGTGTTGAGCCTCTTGAGCGAGGTTCTGGACGAAGGGGGCATATGCTTCTGGGTACGAAAAAACAAAGTGCTACGTTCATCTCCCCCATAGCAATAATACGGGAGGTAATGGAGCAGAAAATGCGCATTGCAATCCTGACGGATGGATAACCTAGTTTGCTCGGTCCTCGTTGCAGTCCCCTGCAGCCTCTGGACTGGATACGCCCACATTGGCTTTAAAATCTACCGGTACACATCTTAATGTCATTGCCATCTCCCAGGCCGTCGTTAGCTGACCACCTCGAGCTCCTCCGTCCAGAGGCCGACCCAGATGCAACATCCCGAAATCCCATCAGCCCCGCCAGCTCAAGCGAGTCCGTCCAAACGCCATCTATCCCATCCCACGAGCCAACGCGCCACCATCATCATCGATTAGGTCGAAACACAAAGACGCCATTATCCTCTAAGCCGGCTTATCCCACTCATCTTATCCCATCCCATCCTATTCTCATTTCAAAGCCTAACTCGAGGCAATGTGCAAGTCAGGAATAGAGATACATGCATACATACATACATAGATCCTTCCTCCAGAGTCCAGAACGTGTAAAGCAGCCGCGTATCAAAGCTACGAAATGATTCGATCGCGGGAGCCGGGCGGCGCCTCGTGGCGTTTTTCTTTCCTCTGAGGGAGGCTCATAGACTGATGGCTTCGTCTTTTGGCCGAAGAGAGAAGAGAAGAGGGGAGAGACGCGATGTTGCCTGGACCGAGACAGCCAATTATAGCGTAGATCTCCGGCTCGCTTATAGAAACGGCAAAGGAAGGTTGTCTAGAGTCGCGCGGCACTGCGGCAGCTATGGTGATGATAGCTGATGGTGGCAAACTCTACTTTCAACGGTTTTCCTATCCAAGATTTAGGCGGTGGGATGATTGGGCCTTTCATTCGTATTTAGGAATTCTTAGCTATTGTAAACTACAGCAGCTTATCAATACTCATGACAGACTGACTAGCAAGGCTTCCATCTGCCCACCGCGGCCATTTTCGAAAGTCTTGGAAATGCCAAGTACATAGATGATCATCGAGATTCATCTTCTCCGTTTGCCATCGATACAAAATCGAGGTTCATCTATACCTCGTTTTGATTCCGGACCCCGCAATATTCGAACCAGGACCCGAATGAGATACTACGCTTGAAGGAGCTGCAAGGCTAGCTATCTCTCTACCTCTTTGTATAGCAAAGAGACTGCTAGCTCCTCGTAATATGTTCGACGCAGTAGCCACGAGCCTAAAACATCGTCTCCCTAAGCTTGATCACTGACAGCAGTCACATGGTAACTCGGCGGACAACGATGGCAGAAAGGGGCTGTGTTTTTTTGGAGAGAACGAGCCAGATTTTCATGTCCGAGAAAGCCCACACGTACTTAGCTGTTCAAACCAGTTGGGTTCGATCGCTGAAGCTCCGTTAGGGTTCTGTGTCCTGCTTACACGTTAGCGTGCGTATGGTAAGGCCAACAGAATACACACCGCTCTGCTCTCCTCCGCTACGCTAGCCCCAGACTCAAAAGGGAACTCCATATTAGGAATTTGAGCCACAACAGACTGTCCATCCGCCGCAGAGAGATCCTGGATGCCCAGCCCGACAACGTGAACATTGGGCATCCCTCGGGCATACGCCGCTTTCATCTGGGTGATCATCATGTTCAGGTTCCCACGGCGCGTGAAGTACCCCACCGCGAAGACGGGCCGGTAGTCTCCGAAATTCCAATTCTTGCTCAGCGGGATCCTCCCTCCGGTCCTAAACGACCGGCCATTCGGCGCCGCGTCCCGCCGAAGCGACGTGATGGCACGGTGCATATCCGCCCGGAGCGCAACGAGCGCGTCGCTGTGGATCTCAAACCCCAGCTTGGAAAACTGCCGCATGTTGGCCTGCTTGAGGTCTTCCACGAAGGGCGGGCCAACTACCAGCTCCAGAGTCGATTGCTGGCTTGCCATTTCCGCCAAGACATCGCTGCAGTGGGCAAGGTGGATCTGGGGAATGCCGTGAAAGAGCTGGATGCCGACCCACGGCTCGCGCTGGTTCGATCTGCCCTTGTCGGTTTCCAGTCGCATGGCGTTGAGCGGCCCTGACGTCGCGGGCGAAAGCATAGCGAAAATACTGAATCGGTCGACTTTAGCAGGTGAGGCGCGGCCCAGTTCCCGGATCAGTCTTGGGGTCGCTGAACAAGACATATTGAGGCGTCTCGGCAATACAACGTAATAACGTGTCGTAGATGAATCGTTTTTGAAGTGGTGGATGTTGGATGAGATGCCATTTTTTTTGAGGTTACTAGACGACGTTGGAGATTAGTGGAGCCGGGAGCATGCAGGGGTTTTCTTTTACAAGCGAGATGGGGAAACTCCGAATATCGAATATATCGGTCTCGTTGGACTTCGACTCGGAAAGGAGTTAATACGTGATCCACACGGCTTGCAGAGATGTAATACCGTGAGATAGATTTTCTTTTACAAAGTTTAGGGGAAAAGCTTGCCCGCTTCACTTTATAGGACTACCCAGAACAGCTACTTGCCTTCGACACACAAACGCTTCCAAGTCCCAACAGCGTTAATCAAGCTAGGCGTGTATGCCCTCTTTGTCTTTCTTCCTCAGTCTACATAAACTTGGGCTCATATGTACCTAATACTTATGCCACTTTCGAATTCCTCGTCCCGCTCCAGGATTATAACATATACTTCCCCGTCCCCAACCTTGAAGTATCCATTTAAAAAAAGATTCATAATCATCATCAGCCAACAACCAACACCAACCATAACAACACACTACCCTAGTATTGAAAAAAAAAAACCCCCCTCCATCCTCATCTTCTCTTTACACTACAACAGCTACAAGTCTTTCAGAATCTCGGATCCATATCTAAGATCGACCATCACAGTCGCCTAGCTACAACTTCGTGGTACGCTAGCTGCGATCCTCGCAATCGAAATAACATACCGGGACCGGTAGTACCGGTACTCCCTGCCGCACCAGGCCGCTGGACTAGGTCAGGTCTATAATCAACTGCCTAGGTATTGACCTACCGTACTCATCTACCAATCTACCTTGAAGGGTAATAAGGGGTCATTTGAGCCGTCCTCTGACCCTCTTTTATCAAAGACGGTTATTAGACCGTCTAAAATCAGTACTACTATAGCTACAAGTCAAGAATAATTCGCCTTTTTAATCGTCCCCGAGCCTGGGACCGTCCCATGGCCGTCCTATAGCTATCCTCGTCTATATTTTTCAAACAGGATTTATTTTTAAGCTCGTTTTCAAAAGAATTGAAATAGTTCGATAACTATTCTAGAGAAGATATATAGTTGTAAATACAAACCAATTTCTCAAATGGAATCGTTTTAATAATAATTCAGTGAGTTCGATGCCAGGATGTTTCTCGGTATCGCTGCCACGGCTTGTACCTATATCAACGCTTTAAATGTTTTATAATCGGAATCGATCGATTTAGCAAATGTTCAGCCGCGTGCGCCTACTCCGGCTACCGGTATGTAGAGTGTGACGTAGTACAGGGGTGGTTTTAAAAAGGGGTGGTGTACGGTACCGGTAGGTAGGTAGGTAGTAGAAAGTAGACTAGCAAGTCATCCAAAGATTACTTGCGGACTGATTTACGTTCTTTGAGACGGGTTGAAGTTCGGGGACGGCCTTAAGACGGTCTTAAAATGGTCTTAAGACGCTCGGAAATAGTCTCTTTGTAAAAAGACCGACTTGTACAAACGACGATTTAATCGATCAACACGATCTTTGTCTCAGTAATAATCTTTCAACGACAAGAGGAGCTCTGATAAAAGACGGGTTTCATCGATGGAAATAGTATCGTTTTAACTACGATTTAAATAATTCAAATCCTTTGTTTTCAAGTTCTCTTCAATCTTAAGTCTCGGCCGAGGGTGATCCACGAACTTTGCCAACCTTTGAGGATCGTGATCGTCTTTCGAAGAGACCACCGTCGTCGGATTATGAGCTGACGGTTTAAATAGCCCCCTAAACCTGCCTCTAAGGTACCGTGCTCATCTACCAATCTACCAATCTACCAATCTACTAATCTACTAATTTTAAACGATCTGCTGACTACACGGTATAAATCCACTCGGGCAGCAGGTCACGAAATGCAAATGGAATCATACACACACATATATACATAGATATACATATATATATATACATGTAAACGAGAAAAAACGAGAGAAGAAAGAGAAATCAAAGCGGCCACTCTCCAGGCTCATCCCCCATCCCCCATCCATCCATCCATCCACGTGATCCAACACCTGGACTCGGGAGAGAGAGATCTACTCCTATTTCCTATTTCCTATCTTCTATTTTCTGTTTCCTCGTCCCTACATCTATTTCTATCTCGATCTTCTATTTTCTATTTTCTATCCGATTTCTCGCGCGAGATCGATATATGCATGCATGCGTGCGTGCATCTCGCATATTGGTCACTACAGTACAGTACCTACAGTACAGTATGCATCCTGCATCCTCACGCAATGCATATACTACGTACTACGTATGCGTGCGTGCGAGCGTGCGTGCGTGCGTGCATGCATGCAGAAAAGCACAGGCAGAAAAATTTAAAAAAAGAAGATACTACTATAGTACTACTACTACTACTACTATACCGGTACAACGAGGAGGTAGAAAGGCTCGAAAGCTAGAAATAGTTTGCACGTACGGAGTACTAGGACCTACTACTAAGTACGGTACGTAGGTAGGTACCTACTTACTGTATCCCCCCCCCCCCCACCACTTACCCCCGAGAAAATAAAGGCAGACCCAGTTTAGCCCGGCAATGGCACAAGTACTACGTACGTAGGAGTGTGTACGTCGAGCGAACGGATACCGTACCGTACCGGATTTCTGAATCGTTCAAGGTTGGTTGTTGTTGATGATGCTCCTTGCTGTTGCATGGAGTGCTCCGTGAATACGCAGTGCTTGGAGAAAGGGTTCGAGGGTCAATCGTGATGAGTTTGGGAGTTTGGGAGTGGCTGCTTCGTGACGCCCTGGTCACGAGGGTTGGCGTGTCGATTACTACAGTAGTACTACTTGGACAACGTGCTACGTGTGTGTGGGGAGAGGAGAGAGGGCTGGGTGTGTAAGTCGGTCAGTCAGTAGTCACGTTGTGCTGTCAGGATGCATGTACGGATGCACGACGCACGTACTGCAGGATGCAAGGCGTAGGCAGCTGGGCTGGTGGGCTGGAGGGTGTACTTCGGTTGGGTTTTTTTTTTTTTCTTTTTTTTTTTCTCTTTTTTTTTTTGGAGGGTCTGGAGCAGAAGTTGGTGATATGGTCGCTGCGCTAGTGTTGTGGTTGTGATTCATTGGGCTCTCAGGCGCATGTACTGACGCGAGAGGATTGATGAGAGGCAACCTGAACCTGTACCGGTACCGGTACCTTTATCAACAGGTGCAGTAGGAAAGGCTTGTGGGGTTCGGCCACTCGGGTCGGCCACTCGGGTCGGCCACTCGGGTCGGGCGGTTAAGATCCAAGAGATGTACTAGTAATATGCGATTGGGGCCGCAGGCATCGTGGGTTGCTTAGCGATACAACTAATAGTGGGCCTTGACGTCGCAACTTTTGGGGCCCTTCCCTAAAGTGGGCGAAAAAATTATGTCCCGCGAAAAAATTATATCCCGCTTCAACGCTAAAAATCGCGAAGAACGTAGACACTTATATTGCTCATAACATTGCTTACAACGTTGCAATAATATATATATATATATATTTAATAATGTTATTCATTCTCAATTAAGCTACGAAAAAATTATTTCACCGCGTGTCCTTTGAATTGAATTAAGAGATGCTACAGATCGAATCGATATCGAATCTTCTTTCTCTTCAAGCTCTTTTTCAAGCTCTTCCTACTTAGTAAGCATCATTTTTGCTAAAGGAGACGAAGGTAAAGTATTTAATCTTTTATCTTCGTCGTTATCGCTAATTTAAATGCAAGATAATGGGTTTTATTTGATTCGAAAGCGTTTTTCCTTTATAAGGATTTAAGGATCGATTGAATACGAAAGGTCCGCGAATGTAGCAAGATCTCTTTCTTGAACTTCTTTTAACGCAGCTTCTTCGTTTGCAATTGCGTCTCGAAAAGAAATCAAATCAATATTATCAGCTTCTAGTTCTTCTGCTATAGGTTGCTTTTCGCGGTCTCGAATAAGGACTTCTCGTTCGGGTGGAATGTGTATAAGAATCCTTCGACCTTGTTGCTTATACGCTTCGTTTAACTATTTTTTTCGCTTTTTTTCGGCTTTCCGATCAAGAACTCTTTGATTATAACGATCGTTTCGAATTTTAATCGTTGCTAACTTGAGTTTAGCGTTCGCTATCTTAAGATTAGCTTCTTGCTTTTTTATCTTTATAGCCTTGACTTTTTCGAGTGCTTTAAAAGCTAGTATATTCTTTCTCGTTTGCAAACTCGACTTTTTAATTAGCTTTTTCCGATATGTATCGCGCTAAAGCTTTTGATTTTTATCGAGTTCTGCTTGATCAAGGCTTCCTCGTAATAACCAAGTTTCGGTACTTTGTTTCGCGATATCGAAGCGTTAGCGGCTAAGAGAAAAAAGAGCTATTCTGATCTTATCGTTCAGATCGTCGAGTTGCTTTACGCAATCTTGAAAAGATTAAAGAGGTCGAGGTAGCGCAAGAAAAGGTAATTCGTTAAGTTGCTTATCGATTAAAAAAGAATATTTATCTTCTTTAAAATCAGACGTTTCTCCGTACTCGAGTATATGCAATCCCGCCTTTTTCTTATTCTTTTTACTATACTCTTTCAATTTGCGTTGAATTTAAGAAAAGCTGATCGGCTATATTCTTGCATCTCGAAAAGCGTGTTTGATATTCCGAATTGTAAAGGTTTGCTCGCGAATTTAAAGAAGGTCTCGCATAAACGATAAGATAGTATATTCAGCTTCGAAGCCTCGAATAGCATCCATGATAGCACATTGTTGATTATGTTTCTAAGTGCGAAAGCAGCCGACATCGAGAGGTTGTAAAAGATAAGTTTGATAAGAAAGGAATTTGATAAGCTATATACGATTTTGTTTAGCTAGTAGAATGAAATTTAAAGCTTCGTAGCAAAGCTGACCATCAAGTAATAATATCATTTACGGTTTATCGGGTCTTTGATCGGTATGCTTAATAAAGTGCTTAAGCTACTTTATAATAATCTTATCGTTCGTATAACCGGATTCGGAAACAGTAACAACTTCATGTCTAGTTATCTTTTCGGAAAACTAAGACGCTATAATTTGCTTTCCGGGCATAATAATCATTAAAGGAATAGCTTTTCTATCAGCAAGAATAGCTTCGATTACAATTACGAATAATCGATTTTCATAGATTCTTATATACATCTCTTTGATTTCGATAGGTACGATAACTTCTTTTCCGGCCGGCATACAAATCCGCGCGCTTTTCTCATCTATATTTGCGATTCTATGCTTATCTTTAAGCTTAATTCCGCAGAACTAAATAGCAAGAACAAGCTCGGTATAAAACCAGTTAGAGAGAGATTTCTCGGTATGCATATCGACGCGATAAGATGCGATTGGTTTAGTCTGTATAGCATAGAGTTCTGCTATATTTCTCAACCAAGATTGAAACTAACGCCAAGAAGGTTCTGGCTTATTTTCTTGTATTTTAAGGTAACAAATGCATCGATAAAGCATACGCTTAATAGCTCTTTTCTTTCCTTTAGTTGCTTAATTTGCGGCGTAGATCAAAACAGCTTTGTGCTATGCTATTGATAGAACCATAAGCCTCTTTACTTATAGCGCTTTCCCTTCTTTCAATCGAGCTTGTTTAACTTGATACTTATTTTATCTTCGCTTTAAAGTATCAAGCTTCTCTATCATATGAATGCGACTCGCAGTAAAAAGTGTTTCGGAAGGGTTTTCGAAGAGCCATTCGAATGCTAGCTATATTCGCTTATGTTAAGAAGCTTTTAAGAGCTTCTGGTATTCAGAATTAAAATCAGGAGGTGCAAGAGCGCGCGCGCGTTTTTTGCCCATTTTTATTTAAGTACGTAGGTCAATGTTTAATAGAAAATGTTGTGTTGAAGTGTTGTTGAAGTGTCTACGTTCCCCGCGATTTTTAGCGTTGAAGCGGGACATAATTTTTTCGCGGAACATAATTTTTTCGCCCACTTTAGGGAAGGGCCCCAAAAGTTGCGACGTCAAGGCCCACTATTACTTGGTAGTACTTGATCATCACTCGGCCTTACGAATCGCATCGGAGGCGGGTTGGGATTCTTTATTGTTTTGTTTCGGTTAACGTGGTTCGTTGAAGGAAGTCCTCCCTCGTCATATGGGTAACATGATCATTTATTAGTCCCTTTGACCCCCACGCCCACACCCACGCCCACGCCCACCGCTGCCATTGCATTCCAGTACGAGGCGGCTTCGATCGATCCGATCGTCAGATCCTGCTGCTTCCCATCTGCATCTGCCTGCCATCTTCCCTCACTCACTCACTCACCCACTCGCTAGCTCAGATCCAGTCAGTCTCAGTCAACAACACTACACCAGCGATCTGCTCCTTATCCGTACCCTCAGCCAAGGTCTTTGCTCCCGGAGAGGAGGAGGTACCGGGTACCTTACTCTGTGCTGTTCCGTAAAAATACGTAGTACTACGTACGGTGCGTAGTACGTAGGATTGCCCTCCGGATAGACCCGGGGCTGATCAAGCAATTAATCAATCGATCAACCGGCCTGCTTGTTGCTCGAGCACCCGTGTTCGAAGCAGCCACAGCAGGGTCCCGGGGATATGGGTGTCGTGCTCGTATACCGGTAGACTGATACTAATGAAGCTTTTTCTATTTCAACCTCTGCATCTCCTCCATATAGTACTAGTAGTAGTAGTAGTACCGTAGTAGTAGGAGGTCCATCCGCATCTTGGTCATCTTGATATTCGTCTCCACCTTGGACCTCACCTCCGTAGGGGGCCAGAGGAAGAAGAGAGAGGAAAAGGAAATGAGGCGGGGGCATCGAGGGCTAGACTCCCCAGCAGACGCAAAACAATAAAGTCTTATGAGGATGCGCTCCACCGTTGGGCCCGCCCGGCATCTCCTTTTTTCCAGTTCTGGTTCTGGTTCTGGTGTTTATTCTCGCCTCGCGACGACGACGACAACAGCCAAAATGATGTTTCCCGTGTGGTAGATGTGTTTTGCTCTCCTTCTCGTCTGCCCTCTCTCCCACTTTGCCGTAGGACCGATCCAATCCAATGCACTCCCATCCCATCCCATCCCATCCCGCCCAATCCCGTCCAGATCCTATCCTATCCTATCCCTATCCGTATCCCCTTTTCGCAACATCCAACCTAACCTCCCATCCCGGTCTATCGCGAGCGCTACGGCCACCAGTCGGCCAAGAACGTCCCTCCTTGCGGTCTCTGCTTGCAAGTTGAAAGTAGTCGCGCCGTAGTTGGCGTAGTAGGGAGAAGGTATACTCCGTGCTCCACCTTTACCCACCCTAACCGAACTCCCTTCCACTCTTTTCCTTTCCTTCCCTTCCCCTTCCTTCTTGTCCGTCGCCTTCGCCTGCTGCCAACTGCCACTGCCACTACCACTGCCACTGCCACTCCTCTCTTACCACCCGATCCGATCCCTTGGTCAGTAACGCATACCAACAGCACATACACACTTGGGCGTCGTTGTGTTGTGGTGTCGTGTCGTCATCGTCGCTGCCACCGTCGCCCTTCCTTTTCTCTGCTGGCACGCTGTTCTGTCCGGATCTTTTTTTTTTCGTGAGTTGCGAGGTGCGTGCTGATAGTGAGTGATAACCAAAGAAAAAAAAAAGAAAAAAAAAACCCAGTCCCCCCTTCCCCACCAACCCCTTCGACCTTCCCAACCCCAAACCCCAAAACCCAAACGCCGCGCCTTCCCTGTCCTCCCGTGTGCCCACAAGAACAAATTCCTCGGCTACCGGTACCCCAACGTTGTTCCATCTGCGCGCAACTTTTGTCCAACTTGTGGAAATATCTTTCTCTCCTGCCAGCGAATTTTTCCATCTCCATCTCGAGGCGCTCGACTAATACGTGTGGTGGTCATAGAGTCTCTCTCGCGACACCCCCCTCCTCCACCACACCCCCCCCCCTCCCCGCTCCGTCACACACGCTCCTTAACCCAAACTCGAACCCGAATCATATTCGACTCTCCCGACTCGGACAGCACCGCAGGCTACAGTTGGAGACGTATCACTTGATCCGAGAATATGTCTTATTACGATAACCAGCAATGGTCGGCCTCGGGAGCCCCGTCCTGGGAACAACAGGCGCCGCCCGCGCGTTCCGGTATGTTGAAGCCCGAGACTCTGGAGGGGTGGGATGGCCAATTGACAGAATTGCAGGTGCCAGCTCGGCCGTCCCGCGAGAGGAAGGGGCAGCATTCTTGATACAGATAGAGGGTACGTGAAGACGGGCTGGGACGAGGGCCAAAGTGGTCTCGACGGGATGCGCAGATTTTTCCGGGACGCAGAGTGGCCTTTTGGGACGCCGGAGGAGATACCATCTGCGCTTCCCTCGATAAACGGTGCGCCGACAGATGGAGAACAACAGGCTAATGGATTCCTGCAGAGGTCGATCGTGCTATTGACAACCTTGCGAAGAGTGGCAAGGTTTTCCCGAACTTGTCTGGACGCCGAGATTCGATGCCAGTGTCGGGAGGACCGCCGAGACAATTTCAAGAGCAATACGGTAAGGTCTCCAGACAACGGGATCAGAGCCACTTTCTCATACGACATACAGATCCTCGCATGGCCAGTGGTCCTCCCCGACACCACTCCGTCAGCGGTGATTTCAACAACGATTCCCGCTCCTTCTCGGGCTCGAACCTCCAAAGCTTCTACGCCAGCCAACGACACCAGCCATCCCGCGGCGCGAATGAGGTCGAACAAGTGATGCAGGCAAAGAGACGGATGGCGGCCCAGCGTGAGAGAGAGCTGCGTAACTATCACCAAGAGCAGCAGTACAATCGAAGTAGGCCACCTTCTTCTGTATAACACAAATTCCGTACATCAATGCCGCATCCATCCATCCATACCCTGTACCCCAGCGGCTCATGTCTCAATACTCTGTCCATCATGTCCACCATGTCCCTTCTGTCCTTTCGCATGCGTCCTGTGCTGTGTGATTGCGATCGTTTCCCCGAAGGCTCCTTCTCTCCGATCTATCAACATTTACTGACTAGAATAAGGCGTTGTAGCTGAGGTTTCTACCATGGGAGGTAAAGTCGATCGTACACTCAGTCCCAGCAGCGGAATGAGTGAGGACGAACGACGTGAGTTGATTGCCCGCCAACGCAACGCACTCTACGGGGAAGGGGCCACCTACCCCGAGAACGGTACTTTCGATGAGAACGGCACCCCTCGCCCAGTAACCCAAGGCCCAGGCTCCCAAACTGCTGCTGGTGGTATCCGAGGCCACTCTCCCTTGGCGTTTGACCAGTTCAACGCTCAGAGCAAGGGTGAGCCAGGGCAAGCTCAAGCTGAGCCTCAACCAGCCGCCGGTCAGGCTGCAGGACAGCAGAGGTCCCGTGCCAACAGCACCTCGTCTCCATCCTCGAACCCCACCAGCAGCTTCAGTCTCTTCGAGTCGGCAGCTCAGCAGTCTAGCCGTACGTCCACCTCGTCGCCCGCGGGATCCCCTCCCCGTCCAGGCAAGGGCCCCGCCAGCTCGGGTGTTGCACCCATTGGCACGCGTCCCAGCGGCCAAGCGCCCAATCCTGCTCTGAACAAGCAGCGCTCCACCACTCCTCTTCCCTCGCCCCTGAGCTATGGCTTCGCGGCCAGCAACGAGGAGAGCCAAGGCGAAAAGGACGGGCGAACTGCTTCTGCAGCTTCGAACCCCAACCCGCAAAACCAGCAAGACGTCGGACTGGGCTGGGGCTCCAAGGGTGGCGTGTGGGGAAAGAACTCCCTCGGTGTCCAGGCGTCGGTTTGGGGTTAAAGGCTGAGATGGCGAACGGTATCAAGTAGGGGTGGTTCACATGGTGTCTGGCGACTGCGTACTGCTGATGGGCGGGGGTGGGTCGGGCGGCGTATCGACCGGGTTCTCGTCTCATGGGCGACACGTCTCCTCTCCGGCCTCTTTGAAAGTGTCGATCTCGGAGTTGGTCTACTCAGACTCGGTCACCCGGTTTCCTTTTGGAGTGTGTTTTTTGTTACTTGTCGCTTGCTTGCTTGCATTGGTGGGGTGGTGCCCGGGGTCTTCAACATTCTCCCGATATCCTCTCCTCTATCGGTGTTTTTCCCTCCCCACATTCTGGCTCTTGCCGCGCTTCTCCGCGCCAGGTTTTCGCGTTTTTCTCTCTTCGCGGCTATGGTCTTTGGTGGAGTGGAGGGGCGAAAGGGGTTTACGGAACCAGTGAACATACGCCCGCGACAAAAAAGTGATTCGGCATATCTGGGCTGGCGCG